ATGATAGATTTCCCACTAATTGCCAATACTAATTGTTTGTCTGGATATAAATCTCTCAAATGTATGTGTTGCGAAAGTTTTCTTTGGGTGTGGCTTGCCGTTTTCTTTTTACATGTATTTATGTATGTGTGGGGTATGCACATATCATGCGTGTGTGTAGAGGTCTTTTGAAACATTCAGTTATCAGAGACCACATATGGAGGTGGAGGACAAGGTTTGAAGTGGTGGTTAACTGAATGGTGAGCCCTTGAGGGCAGTGTCACCTCTTTATTGTGCCAGTGTCTTATGCAAAAATGAAATACTGCATCTCCCTGGCCTGGCACAGGGGCTGTCACCCACAGATGTCCCATGGCTTGGACGTCATGTAGTTTTCCTCCCTGCCAAGCTGTGGGCATGACTTATGTTTTCTCCCTCAACTGCAACAGAAAGGAGGGAACTAAGTAGACAGTGATCAGCTCACTACCAGCTGGCAACTGAGGAACCTTCCTAGAGGCTGCCGTGACTGGCACATCTAGCAGAACAGACCAGAACACAGGCACATAACCACAGCAGGGATCGCTTTTAAAACACGACTTGTGGAGAATAAACAGTGCTCACTGTTTATTGGAAAATCAAATTGTTTGTTTAAATAGTTGGGGTTTCTTCTAGAAGTTCCCGTAACCTACTTACTTGCAACTTTTCTCTTTCTGGCCTGCCTCTGCTTCCTGGAACAGTAAAGTCATGTTGACAGACAGTGGGAAAGCCATGTTACTATGCACAGTAAATGGTGTGGGTGGGAGGAGTTTATGATTTGTGTGTCTCTGTCCTTGGGAGCCAGCACGGCGCATGGCGTGTACCGAGAGTCACTGACTATGGCACGGCGCATGGCATGTACCGAGAGTCACTGACTATGGCACGGCGCATGGCATGTACCGAGAGTCACTGACTATGGCACGGCGCATGGCATGTACCGAGAGTCACTGACTATGGCACGGCGCATGGCATGTACCGAGAGTCACTGACTACGGAATGGCGTGTGCATTGTTCACCCCAAGCAGTGCCACATCTTCCAAGCATGATCTACACGCCCAGCTGGATCTGGGGCCATGCAGGGCAGTGTGTGCATGTCAACAGCCACTTCACAAGATGGTTGTCAAAACCGCTGAGCCGCATGCATGTCAGAGTCAGTGAGCTGATTGTCAATCACTGTAGCCATGGCCCACAGGAGCCTGGGAGGTGGGTTCAGATCGACTCCTATATCTGCCTTCATGTGTCTCCCTGTGCTTGAGTCAAGGATGGAGAGCAGGGATCTCCCAGCCAGGTAGAACATGACTGGAGAAGGTTCCAGCGTACGAGCAGTTGAGTGAGCTGAGTGGACTGTGCTGGCTGTACCTTCCCATTCACACTGCACCCCCCCCCCCCCCCCCCCAATGAGGCATCTTGGCAGGCCCAGCAGACAGCCCACAGGAGCACTGAGCGACTGGCCCACCACTTCCTAGGAGCTGAGTAGTCATTCATAGGCGGGCCCTTCAATGGTGGATCACTTTGACACTGAGTTCCCACTCAGGTGGATTTGGGTTTTGTTCTGCTTCTCCCACCAGCTCCTCTTTGTCTCCTGAGCATTTGAAGACCAGCTGAAGTAGTCCTAATACTGTCTGTCCCCCCTCACTGTGCAAAAGTAGAAGGATTTGCTTTCTTCAGGCCTGGCTTTGAGCCCCCATTTTTGTTGAAACCTTTCTCAGAGGCTCTATGTGGTCAGACATCCCATGCTGCATGCTGGAGCCAGGAATGGAGTCACTGGAGAGGCGGAGGCCGGGGGTGGGGGGGGGGGATGGCTGTTTCTTTTGGGCATTGGTGGGGGCTGGGGGGGGGGTGTGATTGAGACGCGCACACACAGGAGATGTGGCATCTTGCAGCGGGTGTAGACGTGCACACACAGGAAATGTGGGGTCCTTGCAGCGGGTGTAGATGCGCACACACAGGAGATGTGGGGTCCTTGCAACGGGTGTAGACGCGCACACACAGGAGATGTGGGGTCCTTGCAGCGGGTGTAGACGTGCACACACAGGAGATGTGGCGTCTTGCAGCGGGTGTAGACATGCGACCACAGGAGATGGCCTCCCTTACCTTCAGCAGTGACATCTGCACAGCTGAGACAAGGGCATGCCGGGCAGTGCTCAGAGGCTGACGTGATGCTCTGGTCCTCCAGGTCAGTTGGAGGCACAGTTGGCACTTGGTGTCCTGGCCTGGGAGCTGTGCCTTCACCTGTAGTTTCCCTCTGACTGATCAGAGCTTCATCAAAGCCATTCTGGGAGGAAGAAAGACAAAGTCTGGGTTTTGAAAAATCTCTGTGCCGTGACTCCCGTGTTAGGTATCTGCGTGTGCCATTCTGTCCTTACCACAACTTTGGATTACCGTTGTGTGTGTCCTTTAATGACAGATGGAACTGTGCAGGGTAATTTCTTCATGGCATGTCAAGTGCGAGCATGCACACACTCAGGCTGTGGGACAGTCCTATTCATCCTAGGCTATTCTGGGACTGGATGGACAGGTGGTGACACAGTGGTCAGGATCTGTTTACTTCAACAGACCCAAACAAAAAGCGTACAATATAAGAGACGGAAAATGGGATGCCCGTCTAGGGGCATGAGTGCAGCTTGCAGGATGGACATGTGGGGTGTCAGAGTGAGTGCGAGTGGGGTACAAGGCTGAGGAAACTGCTCTGTCTACCCTGACTGCACACTGGACACAGGCTGCACTGCCTTTATATAAAAAGTTCCCTCAGTACATTAATCTTTGTTTACCAGAGGGGTTTACTTTATAAACTTTTAAGGTTTTGTTGTTGTTTGCCTTGTTTGTTGTTTGGAGACAGGGTCTCACTATGTAACCCTGTTTGGTCTGGAACTCCCTATTAAAGGTATGTGCCTGGCTATACTTTTTCTGTAATTACACTTAAGATGCACATTGTACTGCCATGCAAAAAGTTCTCTTCATGTCCATATTCTCAGGCTTTTTCTTATTAGTTTAAAATGTTCCCTTTGAAACTCTATTAATAAAGACTTGTTTTATGATGTGCATGACTATGCCTGAGTGTATCTGTGTGCACCACACATGTGCAGGAGCCCCTAGGGCTCAGAAGAGGGTGTTGGATCCCCCGGAGTGAGAGTTACAGGTGGTTGTGAGCCACCATGTCGGTGCTGGGATCTGAACCTTAGCTCTCTCCAAGTCTAGCACGTGCTGTAACCGATAATCCATCCCTCTGGCCCTGCCATCTCTGCCACTGTTGTTGCAATGTAGAGCCAGGCTCACCGGTGTCACTCTCACGCTTCATCTTGTCCCATTTGATGGTCTTGGTGGGCAATGACAGTTCCTGGGATGACAAAGCCTTTTCCTCCCAAGGACCTGGCTCAGTCTGTTTTGCAGCTAACTTTTCCCTCCCTCCCTCCCTCCTTCCCTCCCTCCCTTCCTTTTCTTATTTTTATTTTTTGAGATAGGGTTTCTCTGTGTAGCCCTTGCTGTCCTGGAACTCACTCTGTAGACCAAGCTGGCATCGAACTCAGAGATCTTCCTGCCTCTGCCTCCCGAGTGTTCAGATTCAAGGTGTGGGCCAGCATGTCCAGACCTTCTTTCTTTTTTTTAAAATTTATTTATTTAATTTAGAAACAATCTTATTTTACATATCAATTCCTGTTCCCTCTCCCTCCCACCTCCCATGTCCCCACCTTCTTTTTTAAAGAGAGTTCTCTGTAAAACAGTAGCAAAGCGTCTAGCTCTGTGATTCTCAACCTGTGGGTCACAACCCTCTTTGGGGGTTAGACAACCCTTTTGCAGGAGTCACCTAAGACCATCAGAAAACACAGATATTTACATCGTGAATCATAACAGTAGCAAAATTATAGTTATAAAGAAGTAAGGAAAAGAATTTTATGGTTGGGGTCACCACATGATGACCTGTATGGTTGGGGTCACAGCATTAGGAAGACTGAGAACTACTGGGAGGGCTGGGTGTCCAGGCAGAAGTCTAGAGCTAGCTGAGTGTCAGAAGCAGTAGCCATCTTGGGGACTATTGAGACCTGCCCTGGGATATTTTGAGTTCGTGTTACTCATTCCCTGTTGAGATTTCTCTCAGTGAAAGAATCCTGGGGCCAGTGAGATGCTTGCAGCCAAGCCTGCTAATCCCTGAGAGTTTGATCTCTGAGACCCACAAGGTGAAAGAAGAAAACCTATAACTCCCAGGTTGTCCTGTGACCTCCCCTAGTGCAACATGGCACACGAGCACCGGTGTGAACACCCCAGTGCACACATTAAGTAAATTTAAAACACAACAAGAACCCTGGTATCGAGGTGGCTGGTTTGTCAAGGGAGCTACTGAGATTTATGCCTTCTGTCCCTCTCCCTGCAAGAAGAAAACTGCACAGTAACATTGCTTTTTTGTCACTGATTCCATCTTACCTACTCTGCATGCATACAGGCTCATGTGTGTATAAATCAGCCAGAGAGAGCCTCTGGAGGTCAGAGGGCACTTGAAGGCATCAATTCTCACCTTCTGGGGAATGCCACATGCTGACCCACAGAACAACACTTTAGCCAGTGTGGGGTTGTCCCTAATACTATCATAGAGAGAAAACACCCCAAGGCCTGGTCAGCTCCTGCTCATTGGCACACGAACAACATAAGCAGCCAGTCACATCCAAGTGCCCCACTCAGCTCCGCGCAGAGCGGCACAGGAGGTATTGAGAACACACAGCCCTACTGGCTCACTGGATCCGTGGTTCTTAACCTTCCTAATGCTGCGGTCCTTTAACACAGTGCTGTGGAGATCCAATCATAAAATTATTTTTGTTTCCACTTCATAACTGTAATTTTGCTACTGTATGACTCGGGATGTAAATCTTGGCTATGTAGGACATGATACGTGATCCCTGAGAAAGGGCCGCGGCCCACAGGTGGAGAAGCTGTTCTCTAGACCCTGCTAAGCAGAGTGTTATTATCATTACTTTGCTTCTGTTTGCCTCCTGCAGATGGATCTGTCCGTGGAAACCCTCTTTTGCTTCATGCAGGAGCGCCAGAAAAGATACGCCAAGTATGCGGAGCAGATACAGAAGGTGAATGAGATGTCGGCCATACTGCGCCGCATCCAGATGGGCATCGACCAGACGGTGCCACTGATGGAGAGGCTCAACAGCATGCTGCCGGAGGCCGAGCGCCTGGAGCCCTTCAGCATGCGGCCCGAGCGGGAGCGCCGCTAGCGCCACCCTGCCTGCCTACCTGCCTGCCTGCCGGGCACCTGCCTGCCTGCCGGCCCCATGTTTGCTTAGACGCACGCATTTGACCTACAAGGACTTTCCCACCCCGTCGGTTGTTCTTGATATCCGAAGTTGGGACAGTTGAATTTCTGTGAATTCTGTAAAGAACTCTGGATCAAGAGTTATTTTTATTTTGCTCAGATTTTTTAATTAAAAGTGTATATAGACTAGCTCCTGCAATGAAACTGGAGAAAACGTTAAGAAACCGTGTTCCCCTTGGCACTTGTGGCCTTGGCTCAGGCGCTCTGGGTCGTGGTTGTAAATATAAGGTCTGAGTCTGTTATTGTCCCTCGAAAGCGCCATGCCATCAAGGTGTTTGGCAGTGTCTTGCTTCCCTGCCAGAACACCGCCTCTTTGTTTCCAGGGAGCAGGCCCCTTTTGTGGGTCACTGGAGACTGAAGCCTCCCTTCACTCACTCATGAAGCTGTGGTCTGTTAGCAACTGCCTGCGTTCCCAGCCTCTGTCAGCGCGGGCACCTCGGCCTCCGCTACAAGGTTCGCACCCGCCACTTGACGCTACCCTCCCATGGCGGCCATTCTGTCACTCGAGATTCCCACCGAGCTCCGCAGATGTGCCAGGGACACCAGGAGGCTACGCAGCCTCTGCCTTCCATTGTCATCTGTGGATCGTGAAGCTGAGGAAAGAGCGGCTGCCCATCACAGGAGTTCAAGGAAGAAAGGCCCCGGGGGGGGGGGGGGGGGGGGGGGGAGGGGGGCAAAAAAAAGAGAAAAAGAAGAGGAGGAGAGGAGAAGAAATGGAGGAGCAGATATATTGAGTTGGGGGAAGAATAGAGGAGAGAGAGCAGGATGAGAGATACCATATCAGA